AACGGCCTGACTTTCTCAGTTTCTTGCCTTCTTTTTTACATTTTTCGCTACGAAATCACTACTTAGAAGTCAAGCTTACGTTATTGAACCCCTATGATCATATATCATCTCTTTGTGGATAGTATCGTTCGGTTTCATCATGAATGAAGATGAAAAACGCGATTGCTGTCCCGTGGTTATCAACATTTCAATCGCATATGAAGTGTATGACATTTAATATGTTGTATTTCTCCTTTATATCTACTCCCAATGTTACTTCCTTGAACATTCCTCGGTGACAATGCCTTCTAAGCTATTTTTAGTAACCAACACCCATTAAAACTGATCAGCCGACTAGAAACCTTTCAGGCAAAGCATGGATCTTGTTGAATCTCAGACCTACAGACGTGGTTCTTCGACAACACAATGATAAATAAATGGATGAGGGAAATCCACAGGTCTTTGCCAAGGGCTTTAGGTTCGGGTTAGGCCCTGTGAATCCTATTGGAATGAGACCCCATGGCCAACTTGTATGGATACTGGCCTATTGATTCTGTGGTGTTAGTTGCCAGCACAGTACTACATAGGGCTACATCCATCTCAACTCTTCTACCTCTTCATTCCTCATAAGCCGTGTAGTACAAGGGACTGTTATTGTTGACTTGGCTTCAATTCACTTTGTTTTGGACCAGCTTTGGCATCATTCCCTGAATTTTACCATTTGCAGTGCACTCTGGGCGTGAATAAATAAAAAATAAATAAATATGTAAGAGATGGTTTTCTTCCGACTTCTATGCTGCCCACTGGTCTCAGAGTGGAAACCGTCATGAACCATCTTGTCTCGGAAAAACAAGAATGGGGAACTGATAACGATGGCAGTTAAACCACTGCAACCTCTTGAAATTGCTAAATATCACGTTTCACCATTTATGTCACGTCTTCGGTCAGCAGTTACCCCCCTTGTACATCGTAGGTCTAGCTATTCCTAACTGGTGCAATTCTCTATCGAGTTTCCTGTTCCTTCATTTTTTCTCTCCACCCACAAATGCCTGTTTCCCCAGAATAGGGCCTTGTGGCTCCGAAAGCGGCCTCGTTCATGAGCTTTATAGTTTTTGAGCTATGACTGTAACTTCTTTTCTGTTTCTTTGTCAACCGGTTGTGAAGTAAAATCGAGTCACCCTCAACTTCGCACCTCTAAAAAGATCACCCGACTTTTGATAGATGGTGATAGATCATTATATCAGTTGGTTTTTGGGAATATTTAGGAAAACACTTTAGAGGACCACGGTAAATCGCCAGATTTTTGTCAGGGGCTTAGGTTTGATGTAAATAGATACATATGTAACACTAAGGTTTTCTTACGTCATCTGCGCTTCCCGGCGGTCTCAAAGTGGAAACCGTCGCGAACCATCTGGTCTCAGAAAAGAATGGTGGTGAACTGATAACGATGGGCAAAGGTTAACCACTGCAACTTCTCGGAATTGCTGAATATCACGTTTTACCATTTATGTCACGTCTTCAGTCAGCAGTTACCTACATTGTACATCATCGGTCTAGCTATTCCTAACTGCCAGAACTCTCTTTCGAGATTTTTGCTCCTTTTTATCTTTTCTTCCCTTCCCACCAAATCCCTGCGCTCCTTCAGAATTCGGGAAAACTGGCTAATGAAGCGACCTCGTTTAGGGCTACAAGGAAGGGCTTTGTAGAAAAAAGATATATCAATTGTGGCTTCTTTTATATTTGTTTGTCAACAATGGTTGTTAGAGGAAGTCGGATAACCCTCGACATCAATCATGCAAAGCACTTTCACTATTGAACCTAAAACAAAGGGAGGGTTTTGGGTCACTTTAGGGGAGATTTTTGGTCGTTTCAAGTGGAAATCGTTCTTGCGTGATGCTATACGACTAGGGTTCCACCCAACTACCATCCATCTGCAACCAGTCCTGGTGAAAAATTACTGTACACAATATTGAATATCGATATTCCAGTGGGGAAAGGGTGACAACTACCTGGACAACATTAGGGATCCCGGAAACTTTTTAACTGTCGAACAGCTATATTACTCCATTTTCGTACACTCCACTACGTGGAGGGTGTTTTTTGAGAAGCAGTCTTCGTCACGTTCTGATGACGTGCCGATCTGACTGACGAATACGTGACAGTCCGCAAGCCGTTAAATGTGGGCAATAACCACCTCCATCAAAACGTCACCGATCCAGTTGTTCAATTTGGGGAGGTTGGACGATGGTGGTGGTTAGTCATTACTCGTAGTTCACTCCGCGTTCTCCCTGAATCTCTTGCACTGACATTCGTAATCCTCAAAAGCCTGGATGATACCGCTCTTCAGAAATCTTTTCAAATTATCTAAATCTCAGAAGCCTAACAATCTCAACGGTCTAGTATTGTTTTAAGAGAGGTCCTACGGTATATTTGTGTGCGAAATTATGTTCAATCCGCCACTCTTTGTCAGTTGTCGCGCCACACCGTGTATTCGCCGGTGGTGTTAGCTAGTTGCCTCGCCGCGCAGACCGCCCATCACCCGGAGTACAACTTAGAGCGTGTACTTTACCTGTTGTTTTACATGCCTCATCAATTTCAGTCTACCACATTTTACTTCTTAGAATTCTGCCCAAATGAATCGGTTGCCTGTTTCATCTGCTGTTACGTTCCTTCTATTATTCGAGGTTGGGGGCTGCGGATGTTACTATTCTTTTCAACTCGGGTGGCTGATTTTCGTGCGAATAAATTAGTATTTTTATTATTTCCAGTAATATCGTGATTCACTGTGGCCACAGTGTTGAGTGAGTGTATGAGAAGTAATTTATTGTCGCGGACAAAATCAAAAGGGATGGGGACGCCTCGAAATTGCCTATTGAATTCTAGTGAGAAATATATTATTACAACTTACAATGTATCAAATGTAGAATGAGTTATATCAAAAATTCTGCGGAACTGACACTCTCCTTATCACGTTCCCCTTACCATGCGTGTAAAGCACACAGTTCCCTCTGAACTGTTCACACTTGGCGGATGGAGTAGCGAATAGACGCCAGGCCACGACATTCACCAAAGGCGCCAATCCATTGCACCATGCAACATATCATTTACCATGAATCGTAGCCATCGATCAATTATCATCTTTTCTTATTCAATTTAATTTATCCCTCGAGTTATAGTGGGGTAATAGTTACACTGGTTTTATGTTTTACTATTTTATTATTTCTGATAAATAAGTATCCCGACATTCAAAGTATTTTCGCGTACATGTGCCCTTACCAACACTCTGAACCTTCAGCGGAATTGTTATCAGCTGAAGTTTTCTAAACGAAAGACAACTTGCAGTGTGCAGTGAGGAGCCATTCACCTGGGCAAGGTGTCAGATGGCGCGATTTTGTCATTAGAGCAGCGTTTTTTCGCATCGGACATTTCACCTCCGCCAACCTACCTTCAAGCAGGTGTTGCCGCTATTTATATTTATTTGACTATTCCCACGGCGTAATAGTTAGCTCATATTGAAGCAGCCCACCCTGCTGCATACCTCATTGTATTTTGTCGTGGAAAGGTGAGTTCTCTTTAGTGCTTAATAACGGTGTTGCGACGGCTTACTCATATCTGTAACCATTATCACCCGCTCTTTCAAGTAGAGTCGGTATCTGCTTTCCTAAGTGTACAATGCTCTGTGTACAGAGCTGTTGGCGCCAGTGGAGACGGCCAGGAGACTCCTCGAGGTCACTGCGCCGAAATGGGTCACAGCTTGCGGCGACCTAAAGGGAACCTCTGGGGCTCGCGATCGCGCAAGANAACGGTGTTGCGACGGCCTACTCATATCTGTAACCATTATCACCCGCTCTTTCAAGTAGATTCGGTATCTGCTTTCCTAAGTGTACAGTGCTCTGTGTACAGAGCTGTTGGCGCCAGTGGAGACGGCCAGAGACTCCTCGAGGTCACTGCGCCGAAATGGGTCACAGCTTGCGGCGACCTAAAGGGAACCTCTGGGGCTCGCGATCGCGCAAGATGGCATAATTTAAGTTATAGCGAAAAATCATGCTACGAAGAGGAGACAGGGGAGTGTGAGATATTATAAAAGCTTACATTAAAACCTTGAACGCAGAATCAATTGAACTAGACTTTGCTACCATGAAATGGAATGACTGCAGCGATTCCTGTCAGGCGCATAAATTGTAGCAGCGCCCCCATAATAACCAAGAAACCGGTGCAACCTGCTCCCATAATAAATACATAAAGTATCTAGAAAAAGTGACGAGTAATAGCAAGGTAATCGCAAATGTCAAATGCAAACTGGTTTGCCGAACGATGCGACCTCGGTCGACGCACGTATGCCGCTTCTAATCTCACTTGGTCTTTGACGTGAGGCTGCCAGTTAATGAACCTGGCAATGTAATTTCCAAATGGGATCATCAAACGCTTGTCACACCGTTGTGGAAATGAATTGATTGCTATTTTTATGCATTTTTGTATTTTTGATGTGATCGATTTTTATCTATTAGAAAAGTATTAAGAAGTTTTCGGAATATGACCACACCTACTCACTACTGAACTATAGTCAGATTAATTGCATATGGGCGGAGTCAGCCTTGGAGCGCAAAAGTTTTGGCGAGCGCGGGTGGACGAACATAAATTGTCCATTAATGAACGCTGCATATCGCTACTTTTCTTCTAGTTATTTTATTCTGACTTCATAGAGTTATTGAGTAGGCTTGTACTGTTGCTCTTCAGCCACTCACATTGCCTGAGTAACGAAAATTCTCCTTAAGTTCATTTTCCACTACTACTTCATAGTAGTACCAGTCGTAAAGTAGCAAGTATTAGTCGCAGGACAACCTCAGACACATTAGTCTTGCGCATTGTTATTCCAGTAGCTTTTAAGGCTTAAGTTACGGTAGGAATTCGGATTCGAAATGGATTTTCGTCCTCGTGAGTGTAGTTTCGTTTGCCATTTTGCGATTTATTTGCTTTGCGCTTCGCTGGAGACATTTTTCTTCACCAGTTTGCCTTTCAGAATGGCTTCTAGGAATGGTATTGCTGAAGATGTCACCGAACTTATTGGTAATACTCCAATGGTCTTTCTGAGGAAAATTGGGCGAGGTTTACATGGAACAGTAGGTGAGTTGGTTATTGATCAATAATCTTTTGAACAGATCTTTGTGTTCTTGTAGTGATATTGATTCCCAAGCTTGTCAAAGTGGAATAAACTTTCAGCTGCCAAAGTTGAGTATTTGAATCCGGCATGTTCTGTGAAGGATCGAATCGGATTGTCTATGATCCAGAGCGCCGAAGAGGCTGGCAAGGTACTTCTAAGCGTTCATGCTACTTTTATCTTTGAACTCAATTTAACAGTACTTCTATAGTAAACGGTAGTTTGCAATTCGCCACTTTCTAGAGCTTGGCCCATTGTTTTCGTAATTTATACCACGTTTATAACGACTGTTGTTGAGCAATACTTATCTGTTAGCAAAATATATTTGGCCCGTCTTATTTGAGTTACTACTCCTAAAAAATCGAGGTTTCTGGTGGTTATTGCTAGTAAATTCGTTTCAATTACTTGTGGCAATTGGTGGAATGTCGTCAAAAACACGGCGAGGTCGAATGGTTTGTTCTGGATAATAAGTATCTTGTGATATTTAGGCCGTCAGAAGAATAAAAACTTTTTCTGATGGCCTAATTGCCACAAGAAACCATTTAGAACTATATCAGATGAGTTAAGGCTCCCAAAAAGTACTGAAATAGATGGGAGCTCTGTCGTTTCGCCAGGCTGTAGAGCAACGTAGCAAAACGTAACAGATTTTCCGAGTTACAGATCCGTCCTGGTCTCACTACCCTGATCGAACCGACGTCCGGGAATACAGGTATCGGATTGGGAATGGTTGCCGCTGCCAAAAATTATCGTCTCATCATCACGATGCCGGCTAGTATGAGTCTTGAGAGGGTAAGTACTTGTTTCTTTGTTTAGCTGGTTAGATTGTCTCTTCACATTTAATTCATAATAGTGTTTGCCTCTTCCGTGATCCTTGTTGGCTAACTAAATATTGGAAATGCCGAACGAAGGAAAAGTCTTGAAATATTGCATGAACCCTCTGGTTTTAGGTGGTAGGTCATTTGATGATAGCAGTTGGCTCCCTGTTATTTATTGTGTAATGTAAACGATGTGAAAAATGGCTTGTGTNTCTCACTACCTTGATCGAACCGACGTCCGGGAATACAGGTATCGGATTGGGAATGGTTGCCGCTGCTAAAAATTATCGTCTCATCATCACGATGCCGGCTAGTATGAGTCTTGAGAGGGTACGCATGTTCCTTTTCTTAATACTGGTTACCTTTTTACTTCATGCTTGGCCCACAATTGTGTTGCCTCTTTCGTGATCCTTGTTTACTAATTAAATATTGGAAATGCCGAACGAAGGAAAAAGCCTTGAAATATTACATGAACCCTCTGGTTTTAGGTGGAAGGTCATTTGATGATAGCAGTTGGCTCCCTGTTATTTATTGTGTAATGTAAACGATGTGAAAAATGGCTTGTGTTTAGGATGTTTTTTTGGGCTTTACAAAACTGTCTATTTTTAAATTGTGTCATTATGAAGCGTGGTATTATTGACGACGTAGGGAACCCAGTAACAGCGTATTCTCCCAAGTACTTTAAACATCATTTGGAAGGGTAACAACCTATTTTTAGAGTGGTATATACTTGTAGACTTGTTACCTGAGTGTCTTGATCAGTTTACAAGTGAATACATATTTCTTTCCTTGCTTTTTTTTCGAAAAAGGTCACTTTGATCTTCTAAGATGTACTGACCTGTTAGGTTCCGATCCGAAATTTTACCGTGGGTCCCACAGCGGCTTTGTCGCTACGGTTGGTTTCAGGTAATGCTCTCATTTTCAGCGCACGTTGTTGAAAGCCTATGGCGCAGAGCTCGTTCTCACCGATCCAGCTCTTGGAATGAAGGGAGCAATCCAACGTGCTAATGAACTTCATGAAAAAATTCCCAACAGTTTTATCCTTGCGCAGGTACACTTTAAGTCTAACCATCGTTTATTTCTAAAAGTTTCTCATAGTAATTGACTAAGTCCAACACATGGTGTTTTCAGTTCGACAATCCTTCCAATCCTCAAGTTCATTACATGACAACGGGTCCAGAGATTTGGAAACAAACCCAAGGGAAGGTGAGTCTTTTTCTATCTATGTATTTTATAGAAAATTGTCAAAATGCCAANTTTTTCTGTCATTTCATTTTTCATTCCGAGTTGGCTTAGATGTATGCCGTGGAACCAGTGGAAAGTGCAGTGCTGAGTGGGAATCAACCAGGCCCTCATCGTATTCAAGGTTTGTCCGAATTGTTAACATTCCATGATATTCCGTGATACTTCTTCCAAAATTCCTTTTTCTTCTGCTAATTGCAATTCTTTCTGATTTCAATTTTATTCGAGAAACCCTCTTTTCTCTTCTTTCATGACTCTATTATGTAATGTGTCACTAGCGTCCGTTTATGTTTTGATCGATATTATAGCTTCAGTTGACATTCCAATCATTTATTCCCAGTTGCACTTTTCGTTGCATCGTAATACGATAGATATAGAAACCACTAGAACGAATGTTTAATTTGATATTCCGAGCAAGCATAACATAAGTTTCACAAGAGTTCCATGAGCTCGAAAGGGTGATGAATGGTGTCGTTAAGGGGGTACGCCCAAAAAGTGGGGTATTCTAGATGACGTACACAATGCGCTTTTGTTGTTAACTATTACCCGTGTTTTCCTCTTCTCTTTTTCTCCCCCTCCAGCAGGAATGACAGATAAGTTCTATTGGGTAGCGTGAGTTGGATGGTTTATGAATAGGTTTTATAGGTACAGGTTGAAAATATAAGTTTCATGTTGCTAATTAAATGAATCTGAATGTGAGGAAGCAAATGAATCTGAACGTGGGGAAGATTTTCAGTGCTAACGAGGCTATATCATTCTTACAAGTCACACCGGAATTGCTAGCCTTCATAGTTCGCGGTGCGCGAAGAACGATCGCAATTGCCGCGGCGCATGAGCCGAGCGTGCGACGATCGATGCCGCATTGCTGCTATGTCATGATAGGAATGGACGTAAAAAACGCGCTCCATCTGTCTATATTCTTTTGTTTATAATGTAATTACCGCTGTCAAATTTGCTGCTTAATGTGTGATAGGAAACCGTCCGCCTTGAGACCTTCATACATGCTCTGCAGTTTCGATGGTAAAGAGGAGTCGACGCCATTTTAAGGCGACGACAGCGTTGCATATCACTAAGAGCCATTTGAAAGAGTTTTTCTGAGTTGTGATCACGCGCTAAACCCAAGGTAGTAACGGTAATTGCTAGCTAGGCAAAAAGGGCGTCTGGCGTGATGGTGCGCCTTAAGCACGTTCTTTCCTGAAATGGGCAAGAAAAACACCGTTGTCGACCACTGCAGACAGGGATGATGTGTCATGGCAACGGCGACCGCCGATCGTCCTTTGCAAGCTGCTATTTTTTCATGGCGGACAATGAAAGCAACATATGAGAGATGGGGGGTCGCATGAGGAATAGGACGTCATGTACCTATGGGTGCCGTTGAAAGTTTCTTCAATTCATGAACCCTCTCGCGTCGCATCAGTTTTTCTAAATTAGCTTTGAGAAACGGTGTCTAATGCTGTTTTTGGTATGCAGAAGATAGCCTTAATGAGTGCATCTACAATTTCTGCAAATCATTTACGATCCTATGAAGAGTTTGGCTGCTTTCATAGTCTGCGATTTGGCGATCGTGAGCGATTTTGCCCGCGATTGATCGCGCGCCCGATCGCGGGCAGCCCTTCACACCTACGATAACGTATAATGCTCCTGTGTCCATTTATCTGTGTAATTTGTTGTTCAAGACGGCTCTCTACCTTTTTATTATCAAGTTTTAATTATACAAAATTCGTGAATTGAACTTAGCTGAGCTATTTCTTATCTTGTAATGAAATCTCTTCTCTCGTTCGCTGTCTTACGATAATCTTGCGTTGGAAATTAGCTGAATTTGAGGAGTAGCACAAGTTATTACTGTAAAATTATGTCCCCTAAAAAAGCGTTTTCTTTGGCCTTACTATTCTGGGACAGTAGCTATGTCCATTGCCAGTGACTGGTCTCTCCAGGGTTTTCTCTCTGTAGTGATACAATGTTTCGGAGACTCGACTTTAAATTTACTTTTTATCACTTTATCTTAATGAATAGATGCAATAAATAATATACAAGGAAGTAAACAACTTCACCCATTGTCTATATAATATTGTGAGGATTTTTTTCAGGAATTGGAGCTGGCTTCACTCCCGCCGTTCTCAACACAGCCATTTATGATGACATCATTACTGTGCATTCTGATGAAGCAATAGTGATGGCTAAAAGGATGGCGTTAGAGGAAGGCATCCTATGCGGTATGTCAAGGTTTTGAAGTATAGTTTTCAATCCTGACTTTGAAATTTTTTCCAATTTTTGTTGTCTCATTATAATTAGGACCACGCTCGTTTACAGGAATCTCGTCCGGTGCTAACGTTCATGCAGCTTGTAAACTTGCTGCTCGTCCTGAAATGGCTGGAAAACTTATCGTTACCGTTCTTCCCAGTTTTGGAGAACGTTACCTGTAAGCATTTATCGATGTCGAATTGCTCCCTCAATAACTTTTTCCTGCTCATTACTGTTTCATTCAGTTCAACACCACTATATGCAAATATTCGTGATGAAGCTTTGGAATTGGGAGTGAATTCGCTTGAACAAGATCTAAGTCGAGTCAGCCTTCCGGAGTTTCCCGTAGAAGAATGTCAGAAACAGCGTGGTGATTGCTAAGATTATATATTTGTTTCTAATTACTGCTGTCGTTCTTATGTACACCTCTCCATTTAAGAATAGCACAGAGCCTTGCCAAACACATATGTAATTTCAGAGTTTCTACTTATTTAAATGTGCCTTTAGTATGAGTATATGTACCTGTCATGATGGTTGTGTTAAGAATAATCTCTATGGACCATTTCCTAGATACTATTGTATCTTTGTAGCTGAGTGCGCACTGAGCATGTGGGCGTGGTTGTGTGGCATAGCCCATACTCCCTATTGGTGCGCACGTTTTTCCCGCCTTCTGAAGGCAAGTCCGCCCATACATAGGAACTAAAGCATGCTAGACAATCTAGTACACATGCATAGCACATTCTCTTCTTCCTACTTATCAAATAATGTCTTCGGTAATAATGTTCAGCTCATGTACGGCACGCAGCTGAGATTTTCATTTTATTTGAATTATGTGAGAATCTATAAGTATAATTATATTATGAATTTCAGATAAGCAGAATTGTGCTGAATCAACTGGTAAGAGCTGAAGTGAGGTATTGTTACCGTATGGCAATGTTATGAAAGATTTCTTAAGAAGTGCTGTGTTTACAAAGCAATTGAACTTAGCATCCTATGTTTTACAGACAGTTGTTTTTCAGACAGTATGAAATGCTTCAAAGCTACACTTAAAGGGCATGCAGACTTCATTTGGTGGACATTACCATGGGTCGTCTAACGTCCTCTACTTGTCTGATGAGACCCCTTTTCTCCATAGACGGTGGATTAGGGCTAGTGTATTCGAGCCCCAAAGAATCCCCACGTAAGCCGAATGGCTCACCTATGACACAATTTATGGTCCCTAATCAGTGAATGTGTATTACTAGGTACATTTCATTCATTTTACATTTTATGGGGTCCACCGTTCGAGATGATGACATGGGAAAACTCCTTCGATATAGCTGGCTAAGGGGCAATCGTATTTGAAACAAATCAAAGATCCATTTTACATAAACGATAAAGGCAAACTGGTGACCTGGCTCGAATTTTTTCCTGAAAGTCAATTTGCAAATATCGATGGCCTCCTTGCCTAGCCGTCTCAACTGTGGGAAATTTCCGATCTCAAAAAGGAACCCATCCCTCAGTATAGCACAGCCAGCTGCAGCCGTACAATGCTACAGAAATTCCTTAATGCTGACTGAAAGGAAAGTCGAGGATGAGCGTTTTAATATTATCAATATCATTAAGTATCACTCAATATCTGCAATTAATAATTACTATTCCTGAGATGTACACAGAAATAGTGGGGAAAGAACATTTTGTCTAGTTATGGAGGTGATAGAAGAGATCTTTGTCATCGTTCCACCAATCGTGGTTGTTACCAATATGATGTAGAACATAGCCAAGTTCATGGAAGAAATCTCTTTCGGAATATTCCTGAAAAGGAAGAGTTGCTTACTAGAATCGAAATTGAAGGCATGGCTCATCCCCTAGCAATAGAGTACTGGTTACCTACCTTGTTTACAGTTATTGCCAGCTCTAACCCGTTATCCAATCGAACCAGCATAGCAGCGCTGCCAGGCATTCGACCATCATGTTGCCAACCATTGAAGCCCATAATGTTCAATGACCACCCGAGACCTAAATTTTTGCTCATCTATTAGTCTCTTACTCTCGTCTTACAATACCTAACTAGACCGAAAGTTATCATATGTGTCGTGAATAGTTAGTAAATAGTAAAAAGTATATGTTAAATAGTATATGTAATAGTAAATAATTAGTTTTTTTTTGCTGAATTGATAGGACGCCTTCAGTTTAAGCCTCACATTCACTTACCATAGGTATTGTTCGAAGGGGAGGAGGGCGTGGAACACTGTTTGATGGCCTCTGTAGACAACAAATCGCTCCTGTGGGGGAATCCATCGACTCGTGACTGAAAATAATATACTTCACTAAAAAAATAATCAACGGTAGTACGATAGGTCTTGCGGAAAAGATGAGGGCCCTAACAGAAGTTTCGTGGTGAGAGTACCAATTACGAGGTAATTTTTAGATAGTTGTCTTGCCGAGCGGACGCAGTTTGAGACTCATAACAGTTTTCACTTGATGTTCTTGTATGTTAAAGTACGGGTTCGAGACCCGTCCGGTGCCTAAGTTTTACCTACAAATCGCCCACCATGTGAGACTCCTAACAGTCCTCTGATGGACCACGACGACCGATTACAGGGACCATGCAAATGGCCTGCTTCAGTGGAAATGTTTCTCTCAACAATGGAAAGTGATTCCAACAATCTGCGACCCCAACTTACCATAAACATAAGCAACTGTATTGGACTTGCAATCCATCCACCCCATGGTCCAATACGTTCCGACGGTAACATTTCATATGGATCAAAACCGAGATTATTCCCACTCATGTAGTACAGGACCTCGCGCCTAAATTANGAATTGATCTGCATCCTTTCAGTTATGCCAAAACGAATTTACGGTGCTTTTTCACTTATGCTAGGCCCTGCAACTTGGATGTCATGAACTCCTGATGGAGCAAAAATTGACTTCTTCACAAAATCCTCGTACGTCATTCCAGTTAAATGTTCGGCGAGATATCCTGAAATATCGAGTTGCTACCTCGTGTGAATATCTTGCAGAAAAATCTGTTGTATTTTTTGTCGGTGGTTGAGACAGAGTCGTGGTAGCGGTGTGGAGCGGCTAAGGAATCAGAGCAGTCCTCTAACCGCGCCGCACCGCAACCGCCCGCACCCCACCCACATTTATTGGCACGGGAGGAAAACTCTGATTTAGCAGTGAAACAGTAATAAAAGTACCCAAAAGCTGGTATCCAAAGTTGGAGTAAATCCATTTAGTTCCGGGCTTATGATCTAGAGGCACATTCTCCAGAACATATGCGATTAACTCTTCAGTACTCATTTGTGGTTGGATCCATGCGGCATCGGACTGCAGATTATCCCAACCTCCTACACAGAGAAAGTTGAGCCGAAATAAGTGCAACACGTTGTCAAAGAATGAAAATTCGCTCATGAACTGACCTGCAGTGTGTTCCAGTAAATGTCGAACAGTTACATCAGTAACGTATTTTTTGTGAGACTTTCGCTTAGCAAACTTGTTGCCTGAAATCACGCTTTACATTGTTACCTAGAAGTCACATTTTCCACAGAAAAGTCGTTGTTGTTGTCATGGTGCATACAGGCGCGCGGCGCATTTGGATTTCGCAATCAATCAATAGGGTGACGCCGCACGCGTCTTTCGCGGCTGCTTTGTACACTACCAATATCTGAGTTCTTCGAGTACAATGACATCTGAATATTGAACATTTTGCATTACATGTGCAGTTATAACATATCATTTGATTTACTAGTCATTGACTGCCATTAAAAGTACTACGCAGCGTAACGAGGTGGTATCAAAACTGCATGCGCTTTTTGCGAAGGCTTCAGTAAATTAGTAGAGGTAACAGATTTATACAAAACGATAATCTCGGTAGAAAATCAGCCAAAGCTCACCGAAAATCGAATCGCGTCCGAATAATTTGTCATCCAGTTTGACTTTTCCTTGATCTACAAGAAGCAAAATCGCGCAAGCAGTAATTGGTTTTGATACTGAGCCCACCCTGAAATCGGCCGAAATCCGTCATTTGTGGACAAATAAACAAATAGAATTATTAAAACATCATTGAAGCAAATAAAAAAGTGCCAGAAAGTAAACAGTAAGTTTAGTACCGAAACTGATGATTTGGAGTAACGATTTCCTGTTCACGTACTTGTGCGTAGCCAAAACCTGAAAGGCAATGGAGTTTCACTCTTTGATACAGTAGAACCATTTTAGCTTGAGAGAAGAGCTCAGAGACGTGTGACTCGTCCCTTTGCTGGGAGAGTTCATTTCTTGAAGAATTTGCAAAAGAGTATTGCGTCGAAACTTCGTGCCACCCATGATTACTCGAAACTCTACATTCTGCCTACTTTTCACTTAGCCAAAGAGTAGAAACGAAAAAAAACCTTGCCATTCGTCTTTCTCTCAGTAATAAAATCATCTACAAAGTTATATAGTCATTAACTGAGTAGCACTACCGTAACCTTCTATCGTACGAGCCCTCTAAATAAACTCTATTGAAAGACCCACCAGCCGCAAATTTGAGTTGCTCTCTTTTAGAAATGGCGATCGATAGACCAGGTATATTGAGTTCACGCATGAAATGTTCAACTCTTTCAATTAAAAAATCCATTTGTGACTCGGACAGCAGGTCCGGTGATCCTTGAAGAAAACGGACAGGTATTTCTCTGAAGAACGGTCATTGAGGAATCAAGTAATAAATTGTGAAAATAGTGGTGATAAAAAAACAAGGACTGCTGGAGCGTTACCTTTTGCTCCAAAGAGCTTCTACATCAGGGTAGCGATTGGAATGAAAGTCACTCCATAGAACGGCATATTTGACTGCTCCCATTCTGTCCACAAAATGTGAGATTTGCCGCGGAAGGCATTTTGGATTATTTTGGAACTGGCTGAATTTAACTGTTAGAGCCCAAAATTTTATTGAAACTTTAATGAAGCTATGGTATGCAGCAAGGAACACGGATGAGACATACACACACCTGTACATCTGTTTGAGATCCTCACCGATAATAATGAAACTCTTACGACCTTCTCGTTGCTCCCATATACCCGTGCAGAGAACCTTCAAAAATTGGATCATTGTTTATAAAAGATTTTTATGAAAAGGAGCACAGGAAAGTTATGACATTTTTGCATGTAATTTAAGTTTATGTGAGCTGAAAGTAACCCGCTAATCAACTCTCCGATCTACGAATCACCGTTTAACAACGTCTGAAAGAGAAGCTGGAGCTGGAGTGACCAGCTTTCATATTGGCACTCCCAAATCAACACACATCTTTATACTGATGAAGATTTCAACGATAAACGATGAATCGTACATACCCACAACATTAATTTAATTCTAATGCCCTTAGATGAGGGTACTCGTTAGTTCAACTTATGTCTACAGCTTTGGCAAAAGATCTATGATTACCATGAGAGCTTCAGAACAAGAAGAAAGAAAGAAAGAAAGAAAGAAAGGCAGAAACTGCTGACTGAGAATGGGCTACGGCTGAAACTGAGGTAGACCAAATTCCTAAGCTCCAAGGGAAAACACGGAGTCAATCGTAGACGGTCTTGGGAAACCATCGAGAGACTACAGAACATCCGATACGTGTGGAGTGACCTAGGTGGTGATGGTGGTATGGACCAGGTTGTAAAGCTCGGATAAACGCGGCATGGAGGAGGCGTAGGTAGTCAATTGGCATCTTTTGCCGACGATGCTCTAGGGCGCTCAAAAGGAAGGTATACCGGACAATGGTGAGACCTACGATGCTCTACTGCAGCGAGTGCTGCTCGTAGGAAAGAACTACGACAGACAACTCCACTCAGCAGAAAGTAGGATGTCGGGATGGACCTGTGGTTGGACGCGTTTGAACTGGTGAGAAAAGAAGAAGGCAGGACAGTCATGCCAACAGCTAAAGATTATAGAACAGCGTCTACGATGGCACGGACACGTAGTGAGAAGAATATCGAATCATTCAATAAGGGAGACAATGAAGTTCGAGGCTCAAGGAAAGCGACCACAAGGAGTCCTAAAGAAGAGGTTGCGGTACGTAATCAAGAAGAACCTCGCCGAAGCTGAAGTAATGTCAGAAGGTGCAGTAGATAGAAAGAAGCGGAAACGTTTGATAAGAATAGTGGACTCTGCGACGGTGCTGGATCAACGCTAGGGAAAAGAATAAGATTATGAGGTGACGAACTAATGTAGAAATAGAATCACGGAGAAAAATCACCTGGTTTCTATTGCTAAAAACGTTGAATAAAGTCGCTATGTATCCTTTAGAAGTGAGCAGTTTGTTCCTAAGCATGCAGGAATCTAAAGTAAGACCATAATGGGCCTCATAGTGCACTGGATCTGATCGTCGCGTTTGCCAAACTCCCACATACCTGAAACGGAGTCTCTCACTTAAGAACTCACCATCGTTTTATGGTGGAAGACATAATCTCTTGTCGTAGTATATGGGTGCTCAGCGTAATGGAATAATCCAAGCAAGGAAAAACAGCTCACAAAACAATAAGCGATTCGGCCTGTTCACTTATATAATTAAAAAAAAGCCGAGAAATGTAGGAAGGTGTTTACCTTCCTCTCCCGTTTTCTGAGTACCCGCATAGATATGCCAGCCGAAGGCCATCGCGTTCAAACTTCAGCCGCTGTGAAGTCGCATTGTCAGATCCAGGAAACCACACCTACTCCAACAAACTACGCCATAATTACAGCACTTTGCGAAATACAACTTTGAAAGAGCAGTTGTAACAGTAATAATAATAATAATAATAATAATAATAATAATAATAATAATAATAATAACAATAATAATAATAACAATAATAATAATAATAATCATAATAATAATAATGAATAATAATAGATGAATTGATGACAAACTTCGTAGTCAGTGTCCGGAATTTCTTCCCAATAGGTGGTGAAGGTGGTTCGTCCTTTCTCCTCTTGACCACAGATCTGTGTTAGAACTAGATCTCTCTTCTTGTTTTCCCTGCAGTAATCGGGTTGAAATTATGTATTTCATAAAAAACGCCGTTTCAGTTCGACCTTAAATAAGCATACCCGTTTTCCCCAACGATGTCAAATTCGAGTAATTCGAGCAGAAGTTTGTACCCCTATTTATTACCGGAATTAACAATATTCAGAACAAATGTATAGGATTCGAATAGCATTCGAAGACCTCCTAACAGGCAACGCTGATATCAGAAGAAAGCCCCTCAGGGGTGTCAAGGCAGGGAAGTTGGGAAATACCGTCATTGGCGGTTTGCTATGAACCACCAATGACAGCGTTTCCCGCACACCTTTCCCCAAACTCTACCGTAACTCTTCACCTTTTCCATTTTTTCTTTGGTACCGAAAAGGACAAGAAGCTATGGATCCTCAACGACTTCCACATATTCCCTCTTACGCCAGTTGACTAGGGCACTAGGGTATTACTCTACGCTTCTCATGAAGTAAAAAAACTCATTAAAAAGGTAGTTTCTACTCACTTCACAGCAATCATGAGCTCATCGTACGTCATCGGACTGGGTTTGATGAAAACCGGTCCGGTATACTTGTGCATAATTGCGTAATATACGACTTGACGTTGACGAACAAAATAACCCATTGAAACCAGTCGGCCACCGAATTTCAGCGATATCGACAGCACATTGTCAACAAGGGATTCGTTTCCTCAACAGAAAGTAGTTTAGTCAAGTTTTATAAACTTTAAGCCCCAAAAGGTGAGACATGAAAAAGCTTGCAGCGAAAGCACTCGATCTTCCGTACGAGCTGACGCTCGCTATGGCAACAGCATCGATTAGTTGCACCATGCCGCGACGCAACCGCTTGCGTCGCATTCAGACAATTTTGGTAAGGCGAAGTAAATCGCAGCACGTATTTCGACAGGGATTTGTGACTTACCACTTGTGAGCACCCAATCCTGCTCATTTGGAGGAGGTGGGTGAACAATTTGCAGTGGACCAAGTCTATCGGCAAGCTGCATTTCAGGCCTTGCTGAATCCATCTGCAAAGGTAGCTAGATAGCAGTATCATCCAATATGTGAATACTTTTTTCAACTCCAAGAAAAATCGAAGAAGTGAACCGTCAAGAAAGGAAACCAGTTTGATTCGGTTAGGACTGAAAAAAGGATACGGGATAAGGCCTTTTGGCGTTAATCAATCCCGTCTGAGGGATGCGCCCCGCATTCGACTTCCTTCAGAATCGTAGTGACGTAATGAATGCGTTTGTGGTCTTTACAATGACTTGCGATGACCACCCGATGTTCAATACAATGCTTTTATCCACCCAGACGAATCTGGTACCAATTAATCGACCCCGGAGGGCTGGAAGGCTTGACTGGTCAAGGCGGATACCGATCGGGGACTCGAACCCGCGACCGTGCGCCTAGAATTAGGATAGGACTGATTATTCGGACAAAGTAAGCCATTTCCATTAGCAACTGAAACTGAATAGCAGGCAGTTTGGCAAATGATGTTAGAACTTAAACCAGCTTTCTCTAGTCACGATCGAGTAAAGGCTCAGAGCAAGTAGTTTCCAAGTATCTCTATAAATACATAATTATCCAAGTAGTTATTATAGAAATTGAAAACTTTCCAGTTCATCTGTATCGGCGACAATAGATAGTGACCACGTGGCATCCGAGAAATACAAACCTGAACAGGAATGACGGTTGGATGAACTCCTCGATTTGTTGTGCTCGGTGATAGTGGATAAAAATACCTGCAAGTTTCAGTATACTTCGCTTTTTTCCAACTTTTTCATAGTGTAAGGGACCGGAAATTGAACAATTAGAGAGGTTTGAAGTCTATGGTGGATAGAGCTTCAAAAAAACTTGGGCTGTTGTATATCAAGAAACGCCGGAAAGACTTACAGTACTTTTGATTTACACTGATATGAAATAATCAGAGTGCATCAAAAATATCAAAGTTCGAGGGCCCTTGTGTGGCAGCTGCAAGTTTCCAGCTGCAGAATAAATAAAAAAATATGTAGAACTCACGTTGCTGGTTGTGAAGGGACCGCAACATTTTGAATAGTCATGCCATGACTATTGATTTTCTGTGGTATCACGGTAAGAGCGAAAATCGATAATAAGGAGCGGAAGAGTTCTTGCATGAAATCAAATGCAATGTTTCGAAGTGAAGAAGCTTAGGCCCTTCTTCACACACAGTCCACAATCGCTGAGACAAACGAATTCCGGCCACACCCTCGGCCAGTTGACCGACGAACGATCAACAAATAGCAGCTGCATCACCTAGCCCAAAATAGAGCAGGTGAGAATTCACTCGAAAAGCTGTGGGCGCTTGAGGATGCCTTAAAAAAGAAACAATGTGAAAAGTTTGACGAGATCGTCTCATTCAAGGTTGCGCCATGCTCTATTTCTGTGTTGTATTCTTGAATCGCATTCGCAAGGTTTGTATACAAGCTTTATGAGGCTGATTAAAATTGAGGGTATTAGTAATTTGTTTTTTAGAATAAAGCAATTGTGTTGGGTATCATAGAAAGACATACGTGGACGTTGCGCCGTGCATTCCGCTTACGCTGAGATTCACAATGTGTAATGGACTATGTACCCACTTAGATTACGAATAGCTTGTGGAAGCTGATAAACAAAACTGTTCAAATAGACTAAGCTCATAGAAACTGGCCTATAGACAAAAGAGAATTGTTGGGACGAACACGTCCGTTCAGAAGCCGAGCGTACTCTGAAAGAAATAGCTTAGGTTCTATCTAAAAAGGAGGAGGCAATATTCATTCATCAGTAAAAGTAGTTTACCTTACCGCGTACCTTTCGAATGAAGGTTTTGCAAGGTGCTTAGTATTGCGGCCACATATTTTGTTACGGGAGGTGAAAAATGATCGAGTGAGAGATTACAAGAGTGTCAATAAAGACGAAGACCAACTTGCTCCCTGATCCTTCAATAGATACTCTATCACGTCCCTTTGCAACTTTAAATCTTACGAAGTGTGTCCCACATGTCGAAAGTCCTCCGTTCCCATCCTAATGATGTGCTAAACCGGAAGCACAAAGAACTGAGGGTGTCGAAATCGGTCAGAGTCAAAACAACGGCCACTTGTGGAGGAAGGGCTCCACAGAGCCCCTGAAGGAAGGAATTCCACGAGCACACTACCACCTGCGAGGGAAAAACTCTATGTCTTCATTTGTAGAGTAGTTCGAGATGTAATACAACCCTTGATCGGAGTACGATAAAACAGTCTGGACAGCTGCCAAAACTGTCCGCACAAATCAGTAGAGTGGCCTATCAAGTTTACAGTTCTCTACAACTTTCTCGAACACGTTAGCCTTCACCATCCGCCCTGTTCTCTATCACGGCTGGTGTACGACCATAGGAGCACCCCGCAAAGTCTGAGCAGACCACCTAGGTCGTTTTATTAGCCCCGTGTGAAGTCTAATGCTCTAGCAATTCAGGATTCCAGAAGTATCGATCCACTCTGCTTTCATTATCCCTTTCTTAATTTTTTACGATGCGTCTGTATCTCGATTTTTTTATCATAGGATGTGCTGCACTTCTCTCTTGAAAATCGAGATCGGCCTCAGCAAATTGGTTCCAGAAAACCCCACAGATCGAAACTAGGTCAACTGCCCAGCAGTTCTTATCTGAAGTGTATGTGCAGAAAACTCTCGCTCCTCCTGCGCACTGACCTCGAAGGTCTCTTGAGGAGTCTCTTGACCGTCCAACAACCGTTCCCTAGGCATGTGACCAATGGACCAAATGTTCCAGAGTTTGGAAATACAAGCTCTGAATACGGCAACTTGAAGGTGCTAAAGCAAATGGGCGCAGATAAGCAAAACTGAAGAGTAATGAGCCGATCTTCAGACGGAAGTTGCCCAAATTTCCAGCTCTGAGCCCTATGTAAGCTCTAAATCTACAGCAAACTGGAGTTTTTTAAACATCTTATCTCGGAGTCTTGCCAACCACAAAGAGCCCAGTACTGGGTGTACTTCTAAGGCCGCTGGAAACTTTATTCTTTAACCTTCAAGGCAACAAAAACAAGTGCACGACAAGATAAGACCGCTATAAACAATTTATTATCAGATTTAATTACTTCCAGATCTACTTTGGAGATTTTTTTCGTATTCCGTCCAGTCGTATTTACATTTGTATGGCATAAACCTGAAAATATCCGAAATAAAAATGGGAAAAGTCAAATTTTAGCAGATCAACTCTTGATGTGTATACCTGTCCGGAACACCCCTGAGTCTCAGTACTCTAAGCTCTTTCCACTTCTCGAAATCATTACGCGAATCACGAACACACAACAAAACAGAGCATGGTATAGTGGCCATGCTCAGAAGGCTGAAATGAAAAACAATTTGTATCGATCGATGAATAAAAAACACTTTTTTTACTCAAAGCGAAAGCTACAGATATTGAGTTGTTCCAGGAAATACAGCACTAGGCCTTAACGGTCGAAAGCTCTACTTGTTAAACTGATTTTTACATTCCGAAAAAGACTTTTCAAGGCTTTAACAGTCATCTATCGAGGCTAGTCTCGAGGCGAGTCTTGAAGAAAAGTCGAAATATAAACCCTAAGAAAAGGCAAAAAAAAACCAACACTCGAAGAAATGAGGTGTCCCTATTAACAGTAAAACTCAATAACGTTAAAATAAGAAAACCTTAGGAAAAAGAAAAAATCACGAAAAAAAAACTTATGGCAGGAGAGACTTACTAGGATAATCTGGCTCGCCCAGTGATACCATATAGAAACATATTCGACAACACAAAATTCGAAGCGATAGAAACAGCAGTAACACCAAAACCAGGATCAGGATTTTTGAAAATCTAAGGTAAGAACATCACTTAATAAGGTCGCTACCAAAAAGAATGAGACCAAGCAAAAATGAAGATAAAAATAACCAGCAATGAGGGAGGGAAAGAGTTCATTTCAACCAGGAAGGACAAATCAGCTGGAAGACAGCTCAGCTAACACATCATTCAGAGGTGTAACTGTAGTCCCAATCGATAGCGAAAATTCATTTCAGTACTAACGCCCTCAAGAGTAATTAGGGAAACATCTTTTATCACTGAATCCTACAAAAAATTAACCACGGAATAGAAGGGACTCGTAGATTATCACTATGGTGCTGAACTAGTTTCAAGAGACTACCAAGAATCCCAATGATATCCATACCCTTCAGCTACCCTATAGGTAAAGTCATAACTCAGAGGCTTTCACCGAAAAAATTGCTCTGTTAAACGGGACT